TTGGCATTATGAGCGAACTCTCACACCAGCAGGCAACTCCTCCGTCCATATTGCAGTCTTATGACAGTAGGGTCACACCACATACGACACTGTAATAGACATACTGTGTACTCCACAGGAAAGCATCTCCCCCCTCAATCATCTGAAATATGAATTGAAGTGGTTCAATATTATCTTGCGGGAGCCAAATCAAGCTGCACTGTGTTAGAAATGGAATAAAGACCAGGTACCATCGTACCTCCTATACTCTAACTTAGACTTATGACTTACGTAGCTTTCCGAAACAGTGCCCAGAAACGAACAGAAGGTCGGACTGAAAAATTCTTCTGCTATGTCAGTGTCGATTATATCAGTGAAAATACCTTCAGATGTGAATTATTTATTAAATTCAGCAGTGAATGGGATCAATAAACCTGTCAGCTCCACTAAACAGTCACAGCTCATCCAATATCACACAAGGTAGAAAAGGAGGTAAAATCGAATCATCTATCCTGTTTTTACCATAAGATGATCGAACAAACGACCTTCCGTTCTTCGAGGATGGATAGATTATTGATAACATATATGGAGGATGCTTAACATTGTTTATATTGTAATAGGAATGTTTAAATACCCTTTTTATTTGGGTTTGTAAGTGGTTAAACATATGGCTCTACTTTTAAGCCGTTATTTACTGTTTGTAAGTTGGATTTTCTGCAGTTGTAGCATTGTATTAATCTGTTCAATCACATTAAGGTGATGGCGTATATATATTCACATTCAAAATATATCTTCACCGATAATGACTAAGTTCGAATGGACTGTTATCCTAATCATATTATGGCATACAACATGGTGAAAGTTATCAAGCAGCTTTTACCACAGGTACTAGATGTCACATGGAAGCGCTTCATGTACATGGGAAAATCATCGGCGAAACAGCCTTACACGAAAATGTTATTTACGTATGGGGCGATGGTGTCGAGAAAAAGAATCTAACCTGAAAAACACTCTAATTACCTGCGTAAAAATGCAAGGCACCCCAGGGCGAATGACAAGAGCTTTGACACAGACACCAGAGATATTGACGTTCACTCGTGTGGACGTCCACAAGGACGATGTGCGTTCATTGGTCAAGAACATCCCTTGATCTATGGCAAAACAGAAGCTGCGACTCACAGCAAGGGAACAACAGCATCACTTACAGAGGTTTGCAGTGGTGTTTCCAGTATAAAGAGACATGGTCTTTTCAACTGAGTAAGTAAGATCAGAACTGGTTCGAATTGTTTAACGTTTCAAAACAAACATTATTTCGCTTTGTTTTATCTAGATAGCTATCAATACTTCATCCATGATAGCGTGTTTTCGTGGAAAGCCATGTTTGTTTCACGTAGATGTTGCAATGATATTGCAAGGATGTTACACTATATCATAAGGTCGGTTTGTCTTTCACATTGCCTCCAATGCTTTAACTACACACAAATGGTGTGGTGGGGATGCAGCTAATTGAATATTTTCTCACTCAAATCAAACTGACGGTTTTATTTTCAAACAATTTCACAATTCGCCATTTATTCACCACTCACAAGAAGTCTTTCTCCTCGGTTTACAGATCTCGTCTCTTTTCACGACAAGTTATTATCGTCACCATTTGGTAACGATCTTAACACGTGATCGTCATATAGTTTGAATCGGACAAACAATAAATATCAGTGCAAAGGATTTTGCCACCTTCATTTATTTTCAATTATAAGATTAGGAATGCAACTTTGCTTCTGTATTTTGAGTGAGTGAGTAAGTGAGTTAAAATTTTAAGTCACATCGGCTATATTACAGCAATATCGTGACTAAATCAAGTTACAGTTTTATAATAATTAAAAGTAAATAATATACATCTGTCAACGAGGGACAGTAAAACAACTAGATTATCACAGATACAAATTTAAATCTAGTAATTAAATCTAAAACAGTTTAACTATTGAAGACAATACAATATAAAAACAGGCTGTAGATCGCCAACAACTGTAGGGAGATCACCACACTAGGAACCATGGGGACTTGCAGTGCCTTTGCTACCTGCATGCACCCTAGCTGAATTTACACCACCCGTTCATTCGCTGGCGATTGTAGGAAAATTCAGCCATACTTTATAATAAAATAAATACTACGGTTAAAAAAGTGGTAAGTGGAAATTGACTTTGAAAGTTTTGGGACTTACGTATCCTCTCAGGAGGACAATAGTTTTACGATACTTTAACCCACTAAAACTAACAGTACTGAAAAGATCCTTAACAGTTTTTACATTGAAATACTTATCCCTTGTGATGGAAAAAGCAATAGAGTCAAGCAGGACATGCTTGACCGTGATTCGCTTATCATAAGGGATACAAAACGGAGGATCCTCACCTTTTAACATGTATTCATGAGTATATCTAGAATGGCCAATACGATATCGTCTCATGATAACCTGTTCAAATCTGGACTGACAACCCAAGTAGGTGTAACCAATATAGGGTTTTATTTCATGTAATTTATTTATACCTAGTCGGGTGTCCAACTTCTTCTGCATCAGATCACGGATGAAAGTTCTAATGCTAGCTTTGTAATCAGAGTATGGAATAGTTTCAGTATTTTGTTTCGCATAACATGTTAGTTTGCTTAGAGAAGAATGGTGTATTCTCACATATAGTACCGCCTCCGTGGTGTAGTGGTTAGAGCGTCCGCCCGGAGAGCGGAAGGTCGCGGGTTCGATCCCCGACCGCGTCATACCAAAAGACGTTAAAATATGGTACTTGTTGGTCCCTGCCTGGCGCTCGGCATTAATGGGTACAACAAGGACTGGTCGGCTCGGAGTCAGTATAATGTGTCTGAGTGGGGTATTCCTGCTTCACTGCGGCATGGTATCTCAGTGGGCTAGCACTTTAAAACCAGCTTAAGTCTGGGCTAGTACAAGCAGCCGCACATTCACATACACACGCATGCACGTCGTCATATCAAACACGACGTAAAATCCAATTTCACCTCACCTCACATATAGCTGTTTGCAGTTACAAGAGTCTATGCTACACTTTCATCAGTTAAGCATTTTTGGTAACACTTTTGTTCCAATCGTCGTTGAACGTATATGTACACAATCCAGGAAAATAGATCCCCTGGGTAAATTCAAACAACGATAACTGTATTTGCTACTACTAATAATTAGTAAAGCCTTATTGATTTGCCTGATGCCGCACGAGTGTATTTGACAATACGCTGTGAACACCGTCAACATCGTCAACGTCATCGAAAGACCGTGATAGCATGAAGGGCAAAACACGTTTCTTTCCACAGATTATTATTGGAATATCAATACAACATTGTCCGTATGGAATCTTGCAAAATAGGTGTGCGGATAAACACAAAACTAGCACTCTTCAGATTACAAATTGATGGTATTACTACGCCCGATGTCAAGTAATATCATCTGGGAAAATGCATTAAGGTAAAAGTGGTTAATTCTGAATATTTCGATATAGTATAACTTGTGGCCTCAAACGTATCGGTCAGGGTTCTTCTTCGGGTTCGTTTCAAATAGTCTGTGTTAAACAGAACAAGGGAAGTTTTGGCTTTAATATTGGTCAGGGACTAAATATATTCCTTGGCTAATCAAATTGTTCCAGGCCTCCCAGGCGTCATCAGTATCCAAGAGACATTCCTGTCACATGAGACCAATTTTAACATCATGGCTACGTCCGTCTCCACCCAGATAAAATATGGTACCATTCAAATGTTACGAAACGTTACTGAGGGGCATGTACAACATTTGTAAAACCATCTTTGTCAGTCAAAGTTGCCACCGAACTGAAGCAAATTCATCATGTCACATTTACTTTGTCAAAACAATTGAAATAACAGTGATTAGCATACATTACTTGAATCTCAATCTTAGCGTTCACATCAAAACATGACCACATGAAGGGTAGAGAAGCAGAACGACCTAAGTCAGTTTTCGTAGGTTTTCAGGAGAGACGAAACACTAGTATCTTGAAAACTACAGGGGAAATGCCCTTGTATTCTTTGTTAGACTTGCGTGGTGGGATAAAATGCATCATGCTTTACTTTGAGGCAAGACTGATTATTGAAATTTCCGTTTTCTTGCAGAATGACCTAAGTCAGGGATATTCTTCGTGGCAGAACGACCTAAGTCACTAAAATTGAGGAGCAAAACAACCTAAGTCATTATGTATAAAATCATTTCAAGAAATAACGCAATAAGTGTGACAAAGATACAAAACAAGATATATGTATCCATTGCACATGCTTCTGGTGAAAACTGTTCTGAAAGTGGACTTTATTGAGCGATGGTCTGAGAAATAAACAGGTGCTAATAAATCAATATTTAAGTTATTATTCCACTGTTTACTAACATCCAAACAATATGGCAGCTCCCTGTAAATAATAGCTTTTGTGCCAGACAATCACTTGAACAATATTTGAAACAACGATACATGCCATTAAGGTACGATGACATACCCTCAACCAGGTCACCGTGCGTGTACATATACACATGAAAACAATTAGCCATGCCTACGTTTAGTCCTAAACCCTAGACGATTTACACACAGATAATGGCGTCGTTCATTATATCTAAACATGATCAACCTAGACCGCTTCCAACAATCAAGCAAATCAGTTTTCCAATAGACTTTCACTCACCCTGAAGTAAAGGAAGATCAATGTTTTGAACATGCATTTAATTTCAATTTCGCCCCCGTAATAACGATATGTGTGACGAGCATGGCACCTAACAATTGACTCCCATCAATAAACACAAAGCGTATTTCCCAAGGGCATTTATGTGTACTTGAAGACAATATATTTCTGCTGATTGAAATATTCATCGTCCCTCATCAAGCCAAAGCACATATCATGTATTCTTTAGAAATGATTGGGGAATATCTCCACGAAGGGGGAAATCAATTTTTTTTATTGAACACACTTAATTATCATCTGAAGTAGGTCCAAGTGTCAACAGCGCCTTGGCCATTAGGCTGCGTGATCTACACAGCTTGACTGACCTGTTTTACGACCTGAGCACAAGGGACACGGTACTAATGTCAAAGCTAGCATAATTCACTTCTTTGTCTTAACTTGAATGCTACATTTGGCACGTAATCACGTCATGCTTTATACGTGTGAGGTAAGTGGGATATGGACACGATGCCATAATGGTCGCTGCACCTGCCAACAGAGAATGTCAAGGGATTAAGAATATCAACCTGAAAATATCACGCAGACGCTCATCCGATTGAGATTGCAAAATACGATCAGCTATGAGCTTGGCTTCTGTGGATTACACCTAGGCAACCACGTCGGCTTTGATGTTTGTCAACTGGGTGCGTGGTCAGGAACTGAATACCAATATGGTGTCAGTCTGTAGCTGAGATGTACACTGTATCATGTGCTACAGCCAACAGACACTAATGGATAGTACTCAGTGTTTCGTAACAGGAGCTGTTTGAAGTCCGGGTATTGACACATACTACTGCCAGAGGATACAGGCCGAATTCCTGTTTTAGTTGATCGAAGTTATCAGATTTTGACCAGACAAACAGCGTTGGAAACAGATGCATTTATGATGTCTGTGATTTACAACTTCAGTGTGGTAATTTTCATGATGTACACTTCTTCGCACGTTTGGATGCTGTCTCTTGGTGAGTTAATTACTTAAATATGCTTCTATAACATAAAAAATATTTTTAATTCAATTCTCAATTGATAAAGTGCATTTATTACTGAAAACAACGTAATGACATGTGCATCAAGTACTATTGTACACACGCACCAATGAAAACAAAGATTTAAATCTTCGACAAAAATACGACACGCTGCAAATACGCTAACATATTTTATTCTGTAAAAATGCATTTTTCACAATGTCATTAATAGAATGTACTAAATGATTATCCATGTGAAGATATGAAACAATGATATGATGATTATGACAGTTGTAAATCAAGTAACACAGACCCTTATGAATGACAGAAACTGGTCCATTAATTTTGTGTATTCCCATGTTTAGTGTGCGAAGCTTCTACTAGCTTCAAGTATGCAATCAGAACGCTTTTTCTTACCAGATATTTTGCTGAACATCAAAGAGTATGACAAGTGCCCCCAACCTGTGGTCTGCCACAAAAACGTTTCAGTCAACAATAATCTGTTAAATGCGACAATTTGGCTGGTTTCTGTTGATGAGGAATTTCCTGATGTGAAAACAGGTAATATTTGTTACGTCCTTAGAACATTACTCAGTTACCATTTTACATGTTTACCTAGTGGTAATCAGTTCGTTCTTGTTTGCGTTCTATGTCTTCATGTATTTACCAACGTTCCTTTTTAGATCAAACAAAAGTGACAAAGTGACAGTAGTGTAAAGAAACCGTGACATATGAAGTTTCCATCTGTTTTTCCTGTTTTTTATGGGTTTTACAAAACAGTTCCAATAGGTTTTATACCATTAGTTTAAAGGCGATGACTAAGTTTATACCAGTTATATTGGAATATTAGTAAGTAGTTCATTGACAGCAATACAGTGTTTTGAGTTTCAGTGAGATCGGTACATGGGGATGTCATGATCATGGCATCACTCTCTCCCTGTCAGCGTCATTTCAGTCCCTCCTCCCACGACATCACCGTCTGCCCCTTAGTCTGCTCCACGTTCTTATCCAGCCAGTCAATATATATTCAGTCAGTGTTCAACGTCACAAATACAGAGCAAACCATCTTTAATGCCCTCGTCAGTCATGATTCCTTGGACGATGTCATGACAGGCATTACCTCAATACTATGGCATGTGAAGTGGAAGACGGTCGTTGTTATAACTTCTGCGTATGGAGGTAGGATGAATAAAACTCATTATTCGGAATCCTAATTCCAATAATTGAGGAGCACAATATTGAATATTCTTGTAACAACAGTCATGTAAAAAGTCAATACATATATAGTATTCAGACACAACAGTGCATATAATACTAAAAGTATTATTAAAAATTCCTTTGAACAAAACTCTTTGTGCTGAGGCGATCGTAATCGACATACTTATGCCCCTATTGAAGGAGGCTCTGTTGCTTAGGTCCGAAATTCTCTGACGCCCAACATATTTAATCTCGCAACTGAATATCATCAGCAAATCAGTTTTTAACAAATAAGAAAAAGACATCTAAAAGTTTTATGATGCTTACAAAGGATGGTGTTTACAGTTTTCACTGCACTATCTGGGGGCAGATTGGCTTCGATCAAGTTACTGCTGTATATGATAGATGATCCCAACAATCCACTTGAAAGTATTGACCTCGCCAGCATTTACCAGCTGCTTCCGGTGAAAGACCTTAACCTTCTTGTGATGTGTCCATCCGACTGTATACAGAAACTCCTCAACCAGGTAGTGTCTCTTAACTTCCCAGATAATCCATGTGAGCTTCGCCTATAATAACAGCTACATTGATTTCATGTTTTGCAACACTACACTGCCTTCACAGTTTCTTATATGATAGCACCCGGACGGAATTGTATGACACTTTCTAAAGGGAAGATAAACAACAATAAACATAGACATTCATAGATGCACAGCTATTTGTAAGGGGTATTTACGTGTTCCTTTTCATTCCAATTTGTAAATAAAATAAATAAGGTCATGTGGTAATTGTATACACGTCGTATAAGCATTTCGATAATATTTTCTATTCTATATAAGACCGCCGCCATATATCTAGAATAGTGCTAAGTGCGGCGTTAAAGAACAACCATCCAAAAAACTATTCTACTTGAAAACATGGAAATATTAGTACAAAATGGGCTGTTTAATATCATAGCTATTTATTGTTAGGGTCGATTTTTGGAATCGAACATGTCAGTGGCGAAGGCAAGTGGAGGCCCTCAATGGTTGATGGTTCCTTCTACCGGAAGTGTCATGGACCTTGCACACAGCGTCGAGCCATTCAAAACTGAAAAGCTTGTTTTCTTGGAATTCATGCCGTGTTCGAGGTCTTACTTACCACTGGTAAGTAACTGTTAGGTCTAGTTCATTTTTATACAGGAAAGAACTAAACGTCAGGGCACACAAAACTCTACAAAACTGCAAAGAAATAACCTTGCTAAATTTTTATTAGTGGAAATTAGTCAGATCAAATGAAAATTGCTTGTATCCATGGATGATTACAGCGTGGACATTTCTTTTCCATTCTCTGTGGAAAAACCCCAAAACACTAATTCCGAACATCTGATCTTCCTATGTGACTTCATTGGAATCAATAGTCTTGTAAATTAAATACATTTACTATGTCGTTTTCAATAATGTGTTAGCTCCTGTAATATTGCAGAACATTGACGTTATTACGCAGCATTCCACAAGCTCAGAGCGAACAAATATGACAGACCAGGCTGCTGAAATAACAGAATCGTTACAGAAGGTATGTGTTTTCAACATCTAAAACTACAGAATAACTTACAGTGGGACCGGGTGGCCTAATTATGTAACAAACGTGGTGAACAAAGATATACCTACATATCTGTCTTCAGAGGTTCTGGACAATTTGTCAAAAATGAAAGCAAAAATGTCATTTGAAGTTTACCGAGAAAACAATATGTAAAATGCACGACTTTCTCATTGATACCATCTTTGTGAAATTTGGGGGTAAAACATTTCGCCAAGAAGTAGCCATTTCCATAGGCACCAACTGTGCTTCCATCCTTGCGGATCTGTTTCTTTATGCATATGAACCAGAATTTCTGCTTGGGTTGGCAAAATCAAAACAAGGTAATTTGGCAAAGAAGTTTAGCTTCCGGTACATCGATGATTTAATATCGTTCAATAACTAACTAATCAAATAGCCAATTGCCTTCCATTGTTTTACCCATCTGAACTTGAGAGTATAGAGACAAGTGAGACCGCCTCAACTGTTTCATATTTAGATATATGCATTAAGATTCACAAAAGAGTGACAAAAAATTAACCACAAAACTGTATGACAAAAGGGATGATTTCAAATTTCCAATAGTCAACTTCCCTTTCATGTCGAGCAATATTCCAACAGCTCCAGTCTTTGGTGTTTACATTTCACAACTTTTGAGGTCGAATCGAGCTTGCTCTCTTTATCAGTATTTCAAAGAGCGTCATTCCACTCTTGCTCAAAAATTGTTTGATCACGAACTGATGTTCGCTGCAATTACCTATTTCCATACGTTCACCAATTATTTCAAATGAACAAATAACTAGACTTAGCGTATGTTTATGACGGGTGCCACCGCTGGGGCAGGATACGCTCACCTTTTCGCGAACACGTATTTCATAGTGATTCATAAACACATGCTCTGTCATCGTATTGCATAGTGACAATCACTGGATTGTCTGGTTCAGAGCCGTTGTTTACAAAAATCCCATCATACAGCTGTACAACCGCTGAAACAAATATGTGCTCATAATAGGCACAATTGTACAATCGACTCTGCTTTTGACAGAGATTTTTTAGGAATGTGGAACGGGTTTTGTCGCTTCTTTTTGGACGAAGTGATTAAAACCGGTTGACATTCAACCTATAGACCATATGTACACAACTGCCAAGAAGTCCATTGCCTTGACACGCACGGGCCACGCATGGCGCGACCCGTGTAAATCTCGTTGGTCACTCGTGTGGAACTCGACCGCCACGCGTGACACCCGCAGTAACACCACGTGTGTGGTTCGTTGCTGTTTTGTGGACATGGAACTTTAAACTTGCAAAAATGGTACACGCATGCATTTGTTGTGTACTAAAGTCAATGACTGTAGATACATATATACCTAAGTGGTTGTTTTTAATTATACCAATAGCACCGAAATGGGAAGTTTTATGGGATCAAATAAATCAAGTGTTGTATTTTTACAATATATTATTTGTCAGTTGACAGAAATAGTCACATGGCATGATTGATTATGAAGGTGTAAAACATGGAAATGGGGTCCACATCAGTCTCAGTCATGTCATCGTACAGAAATTAGAAGTAAACAAACGCTTATACTGGTGCGATACTTTATCAAAATCAAACTAGAACCATTTCCGAACCACGGCTTCCGATGAGCTTCCCCAGCTCCTTTTGTAGGTTTGATGCCCTTCTTTAAATTGAGGAACGGCATGTATGGTGGGAACTGGGAGGGCGGCATGTATAGTGGGAATAAAAGCAGCAATGAGAGTGTATCTGTTTTCAGGGACTCAACCACTGTTCTGCTCGGTGGGATTGGGCCTTATATCGTAGGCACTTTTGAACAGTGTTTATCAGAGATATTTATGATATTCCTTGAGTTATGCAAATTGAATATCTCTCTAAGTAATGACCATGTTGTCAATGGAAATGAAATCAACACAGCTTGACCATTGTCATCATGGCCACCACCATAGATTCATTTGCTGCCTATAATCAAAGTTAGACAAAGGCTGGTTGGCCACTGAAGCATGACAATGTGGATGAGGTGCGGGATACTGCAGGCTGACCACACATCTGTCGTAAATGCGACACGTGACAGTCTGATCAGACCCTTAGGGATAAATTGAGAATGCTTTGTGTTAGTCGGGACTTGACCCTGAGACAGCGACTAGGCAGGTTGGCTGACAATCGCCTCCGACATGCCGCCTAGTCAGTGTTGTAACTTCATGTATGTATACATATTGAGTCCAGAATAAAGTGTTGTGGACCCACTGATGGACTTCTGTATTTGAAGACACAGTTATCCCTCCAAACAGCCCGGGATACTTAGTTGGATCGTACATGCATGAAAGTCTAGAGACCGAGCACTAACTACGACTGGCAAACATTGTGTTTGTAGTCTGGTGAACACAGTTCAACGGGCTCTCATTAGCTCAGGCTTCGCATGTCACAGTTTTCTTTAAACTTACTATTTACTTTCTGTGTGTCAAATTCAAGTGTAAACGTGTTCCGTGTAACACGTGTGTTCGACGGGTTGCATACGCGATGCACAAACCAGTGTGCAATTTGAGTGCAGCCCGTCTTAAATCCGTCTCACATCCGTGTTACATGCATGTCAAACGCGTTCGCAATGAACTTCTACTACTAGGCAGTAGTGAAAGTCTGTTCCAAGTTAGATTGAAGCATAATAGTTGCAGGCAGCACCATAGAACTTACTACGTAATATCCAAACTATTAGCAGTTAAAGACTACGGTATATAACGTCAATGCAAAAGAATACTCAGTCTTAACTATCCTCGGGAACATACTCAGTTTGGACTAAAGGAAACATATGTTGTTCAATGTATATGAATAAATCACTGAAAATCAGTGAAGACACCAGGTGTTGGCGAAACCGGTTCTGTCCGCTAACACGGTTGTAATGTCTGTGTTGAGTGCAAAACCCATTTCGTAGTTGAAATGGACACCATCTGTTATTTCAGAGTGTAATCGACGGTGAATACCCCGTTCAAGCTAAACTAAAAGTTCTTGGCAGAGGCCATTCTGGAACAAATGTTGAAACTGTTGGCTACATTGGGAGAGATGACTCTGTGCAGGTCAAGCATCCGCTCTATCATGCCAACTATGATGGATTTCACAACCGAACGTTAATTGTCGGGACTCTGGAGGTATTTAAACTGCACTTCAATTTTCTTTTGATTTGTTCCGTGGTGTTTAGAGTAGAAAGTGTGCACAAAAGTATTGATTTTCCTTTATAGGCTTCATACAGAATAACATTCTGTATGTCTGTTTAATGTTTTGATTTATTTACTTGTGCATTTATTAATAATTTTCAGAGCGTTGTTTCTTCTTTTAACCATGGGTACTTGGTCGTAGACTGGAGAGAAACTGACTAAAAAAACACTATAAATCAAACACCACGCTGTGCGTTTGAACTCAAATTCAAATTAATTAAAATCTACAGTTAGCAAAGATGTAAACACCGAAACGCATCATCATTTTACACAATTAAACTTTTGCGAAAACATTGAGTGATGCGGCATGGACCTAGTCGGATGTTTAAATAGGTTGCCCATTATAATTCCGGAAATCGCGATACAAGCCTTTCATAAAATGTCGCTGTATTTTCTTCAACAAAAACATTATTGGGATCAACACGCTTCACTCGTACATATGACGAGCATAGAAAATGTGTTGCACAACTACTTCTTTGTGTGCCAACACGAAATGTGTATCCTCAAAAAGATGATTCAGCAGGCTCTACAAGGTTTAATTTCACACTGAAACATCTTTTAAGACATCGTATTGTTCAATGTGACACAGAAAATATGACACAGAAAACAGCCTGTTGTAAAAGAGCTCCAAATTCCAATCCCTCTCATTAGAAACATTTCTTTCTAATCCAGATTTCAAACTTAGATTCTTTGCAGCGAGTTTTATTAATGAGACACTATTTTAAAGATTGAATATGTCATTAAAGTACTGTCGGAAAACTGGGCAATTTATGTAGTTAACATGTGAAACTGTGGAATATCTGTTAAACTTAGTTCGGCCTAACTACACTTTTCTACAGTGGTTGGGAGACTTTAGGACTAAGGACTTTAGAAGAGAAGAGATTACTGCAGAAATGAGCAATGCGGGTTTTATAAAGTCAAAAGCGACTTATTGTGGAACAGACTATGACTTTATGCAAGTTAGTGTGCGATGATATTTTATTTCGACATGTAGTATTTGCACTTGTGTAAAATTTAGGGATACAGCGTAACAGCCTAAAACAGTTATTTTTCTATTTCCCACAGTACTTTAGTCAGATGATCGGCAGCATGAAAATGAAACAGTCCAAACAATGTACTTCATTACAACCTTCTTGCATTCACACAGTGGCCGCCATTTGTGATCAGGAAAGTGGAGAACGGTTCTGTGAAGTTTGACGGTCTTTGCATCCAGCTTTTGCAGGAACTGGCGAAACAGCTCAATTTCAGGTTTCAGTGTTTATTATTCTATGTCTGGATGTTTGTACTATAACGAGGTTGTAAATTGGTTTCCACCATGCCAGATGAAACCAAGCTTTTACTATTAACTGTTTGACTGAACTACCTTGTGTTTGTTAGCTACACCCTGGTGGAGCCCGAAGACAGAGAGTGGAGTCGGGTACTGAACGGCAGTTGGACGGGGCTGGTGAAGTTACTTACTGATGGGGTATGTTACAGTCATAATGCACAGTTACAGTAATGATATGTCCTGTGTGCTGGCATAATTTCTGAGCATCCAGAAACAGAAACTTGCATTGGATATTTTTGATAGAGATACAAGACGGCGATTGGTGTGATGTGATGTCCAACGTGATTGGTCTGTATTTTTATCATCTGCACCAATTTGATCTGGAAAACGATTTGAAAGTGGGCGTTGAATGAATGTTCCAGACGAGTAACATTAGTCATATTAACTGCATAATAAATAAAGTGAAAGCGTATGTCATAAAACGTTTAAAATGGTGAGTGAGTTATTATTTAATGTCACATCGGCAATATTGCAGCTTACGTGACGAGAACATATTTGATTTTGAAGTGGAATATATGTATATTATTAAAACCTGTCGACGAAGGACAGTAAAACAACTAGAATATCACAATTAGAATTAAAACTAGCGTGGAAAGTTTCAAACTAATAGCACTATTGGGACAATGCAATATAAAAACAGGCTATAGATCGCCAACAACAGAAGGTAGATCACCATACAGTACCTTTGCTACCTGCATGGACCCTAGTTGGATCGTTTAAAATGTCATTAGATGAGTTCATATATTACTTTGAAAGGTAATGAAATGGGCAAAAGCTGTGTCTGTGTCAGCTGCATAACAAGCTGACTGGTCCACATGACAGGCAGACAATCAAAGTCATATTTGAACGACGTTCCAGGAGTGTGAATTTGCTGGAACATAGTCCCCCTTTAATGTGCGCACATACACCTTCCATAGTAAGTCAGGAGAAATGTAACTGTTTCTTACTTCCAGGAAGTTGATTTGGTGGTGGCACCGATGTCTGTGAGTCACAGCAGAGCGGCCGCCATCGATTTCACAGTGCCATTCTTCTACGCCCATTCAGCTCTTATTCTAAGCAAACAAGATCCCAACAGCAACAAATGGCTGACCCTTCTCTCCCTGTTCCGTTACGAGGTTCTCATTTGTATCCTCGTCTCACTCATCTTCTCCACTGTCTTGATCTTCGTCATAGAAGAAGTGACACCAGTTCGTTCGTGGACAGATGACAGACCCACGGATATGCAGACCCGATATGGAGATATACTCTGGTATCATTTTGGAGCTCTTATGGCGAACGGTAAACCAACATTGCTCAATACAGAAAGCTCTCCACGAAAGAGTATATTTACACACATTTGGTAAAGTTTTATCACTTTTCTTTTAACATCGACGGTATCAAATGTTTTGATTTTGTGGAACAAAGGTCTGACCGCTCCATGAAAGACGCCTCTACAGAGCAGTTATATACTACACATATTATAACAGGCGACTGCATGGATTACAGCTTCTTTAATTGTACTGTCGGTGTGGTGCATATACTGTCACTTATATATACATGTAGATCGGTGTGCAACCTTTTCGCTACTATTCCAGGAGGAGCATACCTTCCCAACACGGAGTCCGGACGCACGGTGCTCAGCTGTTGGTGGCTGTTCACGGTGATAATGGCGGCCACCTACAGTGGTAACCTCATAGCGTTCCTCACCGACGGACGAGAGAAACCGCCCTTCTCCAGCTTGGCTGAGATGGCGCAGCAGGACACATACAGCTGGGGCTTTGTGGGAGGCGCATTTCTAGTCACTCTCTTTCAGGTCAGTACATGAACACGAAGTCTGAGTAAAGTGTAAGCACAAACAAGCTTTTCTTGGTTTCGAGCCAATAGAAACTACACACATAAAAAACCCAAGAACAACAACAAGAAAAACGCATAGGTGATATAGAGAATACTGGACTGGCTGCGGCAAAAACAGTGCAATACAAATATACTATTTCTTTCCAAACTGTCATCTTTGTGTGATTGTAAACCGCTTCAGCGCCAAAACGCGGCATTTTTTTCTCACTTTTTCATATGTTTTAGAAGTGTTTGAAGATATATTCGCAAAAACGTAACCAAGAAAACATGCAAAGCAAAATGCACGTGCAAGTAAGCAAAAAGGCATGCAGTATCGCTCACTATAATAAGACGAACATTCTGTTTAATTTTGTCATTCGTTTTTGACGAGAAGAAAGGAAATCATCATCCCACTACTGAGTGCCGCCAATCGAAACATCGCCATAGGCTGCCTTGAAGCTGGGGAGTCGTAGTCTGCAGTGGCCCGACATTTCAACGTTCATCAGAGCACCATATCTCGCCTTTGAGATCGTTTCCTGCAGACCAATTCCCCCCAAGATCACCCGAGAAGCGACTGTCCAAGAACTACCCAGGACCAGGTTGCTGACTTGCGTCATCGTCTTGCCACAGCCGTGGAGATTGCAAAACACATCCCTAGTTTGAGAAGAATTTCCGGCCAAACTATCAGGAATCGACTGTGTGAGGCGGGGATTCGACCAAAAAGGCCAGTTGTCACCCCTGTTTTGAGAGACTACCAAAGCGCAATTGCTTGCAGTGGTGTCGTAGAGCCCGGAACTGGAACCTTAGAATCTGGAGTCGAGTCTGGTTCAGTGATGAATCACGATTTCTTCTTCAGAGATGAAAGACAGCGTGTTTACAGTCGGAGAAACGAACGTTTTGCCCCTAATTGCATTCGACAGGGCAGACATTGTCAGTGGAGACATTGTCATGGTGTGATATCCATCACACAAAGATCTGATTTAGTGATGGATCAGGGGAATTTGACAGCAAATCGGTACATCAACGAAGTCCTTGCACGTCACTTGCACAAAGTCCTTGCACGTTATGGACCGACAGAGGGAGTTGTTCCAGCATGACAACGCTACTTCAGATACAGCACGCGTCACGTTCGGCTACCTTGCCAATGCGATGAACACAACACGCCTCAGACACTTCCACAACTGGCCATCGCATTGCAGGAAGAGCGACTTCGCCGAGACGGTGCCGAGCAGTAATTGCCGCCAATGGTGGCCATGCAAAGTGCTGACTTTGACGCCATCTTGTGGACTCAAGTCAACAGAAACACAACAATAAAGGCTGCTGTTGTGTTGGCGAACTCTTAGTCTATAGGCATTAATTGCTCTTAATTTTTTCTGAAAATGCCTTATGCGTTCTTCTGAAAATGCATTATGCGGGGTTTTTGGAAGAGTGTATCCATCTAAATCTTGGATAAACAGAGACAGGCCATACCAAACAAAGTGGCTCCTCTTTAAAGTTGCTTCCATAAGTTAACATTCTGGAGTTCGGGTAACTGATGCATTCCTTGGTTGCGTGAACTACTGGTACACTAAGAATGGCAACACTGCTCGTACTGAGTATGTTCAATGATGTAAGGAATGTATGTTTTCAGGAATCCAACATCTCCGCCTATCAGATAATATGGCATCGTGTGGAGGAAATGACGGCAAACCATCCTGATTGGTTGAGTCACGATGGCAACGAGCACCTGCGCCGGGCGGCAGAGAGCAAATATGTCTATATTGCAGAAGGGGCTACTTTTGAGATGTGGGACGACCCTCGGAGGTGTCATTTACAGGCGATAACCGACAACTTCGCTTTCGGCAAATATGCAGTTGGTTTACCCAAACACAGTATATACACACAGCTCTTCTCAAAACAGTGAGTATAGTATATTTGGAGTCCTAATGTTTGATATTGTCATCGTATCATCAGTTTGCGGACGCTAAAGAAACATGTGGAGCTTTCTCGGCCCAACCGAAGGGCACCCGTCATTAACAAGTGCATAGGAGTGTCAACTGTTCACCGAAACAAAACACACACAAAATATGGAACAAGCAAATTAGGGACTTGCATTGGACATCATTTATCACTGATACACCATATTTGGAAATTTGGTCCTTCAGATATCTACCTTAAAACCATATTTTGAATGTTTTGCTGTGGCCTTGAGTATTATGCCCTTTTGTGTCTTTAAAAAGAGCATCTTCGACGGTGCATCAAACGTCTTGAAATGTAATGTGATTTGTTGGTATAGTGCTTGACAAAAAATTTGTCGTGGAGCCAGTTGATCTATTTCTGAATCTTTGTACATAAAGTTTAATATGAGGCTAGGTGGGTAAATTGGGGGGAAGGGAATTGGCTATTTACGGTTTTGAGAATCCACATGGTACTAATTCCACACGGCTCAAATAGTGTCTGTGAATATGAAGAAAGTCCTTCCTTGGCAACAACACACCTCTCTATGTATGGATTTTCATGGAGCTTTGGAATCCAGTACAAAGGAGGAAGGGACTTGTCTTCAGGTGTTGGAATCAACCAAAACTTGGTTCGAACTGGTGAATTTTTGGTGGAGGTGTCTTGTTCAGTTAACATACTTTCCTTATATGTGGCCTATATGTATGTGTCACCACCAAGCTTAAGGTATTTGATCAAACGATTAATGAGCTGATGCTTGCTGGTAATTGTAATGTTATTTGATGCCTTGTCAGTGGGAACTGTTGCAAACATTTCATGCAGGACAGGGGCGGCGGCGTAGTCAAGCAGTTAAAGCGTTCGCCCGTCACGCCGAAGAACTGGGTTTGATTCCCCACATGGGTACAATGTGTGAATCTCATTTCTGGTGTCCCCCCGACGCGATATTGCTGGAATATTGCCAAAGGCGGCCTAAAACCATAATCACTCACTCACTCATACAGGACAGCCAGACTTCGATGGCAACTGGATTGGACAGAATGGATCTATTCTAGTTCCGTTTCTTCTTTTCCAGTTCACACATCACACACTTTTCTAACTGACTGAAAGACGTTTAACAGGTTTCTCTCTCACTTTCCTCAATGTTTCGACAGCATCCATAATCATGTCTAAACACTGTAGTCCAATTTGGTAGGAGGTTGTTGATAACAACTTTATCTAAAATCAAGCCTTTCACATAAGAATTGACACTGTCCATGTCGCTGAAGGCTGAAGGCTGAAACCACAATCCAGACACATATTTTATCTGTAAAGGTGTGTGTGAGAGAGAGAGAGAGGAGGGGAGAGGGGGGTAGTGCAGTGAAACTTGTTTTGCTTAAATATTGTTAATGATCTAATGCTTATCAAGTCGAGACTTGGACTTGTAATGGTGTTCAAGATGTGCTGAACCAACTGTGACATGATATATAGGCATGACACCATGGTCACTGAACGAGCTGCTTTCTTACATTACATTCTGCTAAATTTTAAATCGGTCGAGAGGTGGGATAGAGTGTATACTTTCTATTCACTTTTGCAGAATATTGAAAGTGTACGAGAGCGGCCTTGTGCATATGTGGTGGAATCGGTGGAAACCTAAACATCAGTGTATGTCACCCAGCAGAAAATCGAAGAGGATCGACATTCTAGCCTTGCAAAGCGCCTTCTATATTGCAGGGATTGGTGTGGCTATATCACTCATGGTACTTGTGATTGAAACCATTCATAATCGGCGAAGTAAACAAAGACTGCCGAGACAGTCTGACAGTGTTGAAGAAGATGATGAAGAGGAAGAAGAAGAGTCAGTTTGCCCTGATACCTCATCCCAGGATCTCCCGAACACAGATATAGTTGCCACCACCTGACGTATGACAGAGTTGCACCAGAAAGACCTTATCACAGCTTAACCATATGGAAACAAATCTTGACAGCATCGGCAGAAATGCAGATGCTTCAAGCATGACACAGTTACTGTTCTTTTACCATGTGCACCTTTAGGGCGAGATAGGTTAAATGGTCATGAAATCAGGAGGTTTGTTCTGTGATTAGTATGTGCTATGTACTTTAAACACTTAGAAATACGGAAGCTGTAGGTCACGCTTAGATCTATGTAGTTTATATGTCTGCTTGCCCCCAGATGAGTAAGAGAAGAAAACATCTCAGAAGAATGAAGAAGAAAACGAAAACAGATCTAAAGACAAATAAATGATTTCCATTCATTGTGTCTTATGATTTCTTCACTTTTAGATCAGTTAGTAAAAGTCTTTAAATACATTGATGGACAAGTCGCTTTGCTTCGAAAACAATTTTTAATAAATGTGGACATGTCCTTTATGGGTGTGCAAGTGTAAGAAAATTCTGGGCGTGTGGGAAATGGGATACACGTGTAAACGATTTGGACAAACCAAATGAAGGTCATAAATCATTCGCGTCTCATATATTATGTACTGGTTTCTCAAGGCTGATATCATGTTGACTGAGATCAAATATATACATTATTGACTGAGTGAGAACTCTTCTTTATCAATTTCGATCCTTTCGTTGTGGTATGTTTGAGGACATTTCAACTAACACTACCAGGAATCAAGGCTTCATCAGTGCAAAGTCTTCCCATCTTGGCTCCCCGACACGTGGTTGCAAACAACATAGGAAACATTAACGGCGAGGCTTCGCTGTGTGCAAAGTATACAGGCAGATCTGATCAACGTCATATTTCAAGCTGTTAGGTTTGTTTGTGTGGATTCAAGGGACATAAAATATCGTTAGATTTGTCTTGATATACAGTCGAAACCTTTCAAATGCGTCCTTAGTCATTCAATTGTTTAATCAGAAGCCCACTATGTCCAATGAGACATAACCAGGAACTTGCTTAGACTAGTTCTTGATAGAATTCTTCTTTTCATTTGTGTTTCCAAGATGACAATTCTATTTGAAAACACAAACAGATCGACAAAGATGGGAACACCGCTAGTAATAATGGGAATGTCTACTGCTTGGCTTAAAGTCATACCCCTAAAGTTTCCATTAATTTATGTGGGGGTCCAGGATTTCACTCATTGTCAACACAGTAATCAACATTTGCTTTCAATTTTGGCAAACTGTCATGAAACTTTCATTATGTACATATAACTACATCTGTGGTCAATACATTTAGTCATAGTTTTTGCCTACGGTTGCCATGCATGATAATAGCGCACCAGGGTGAATCTTCATTTCCAAGTCGAACGTCTTCTATTTCCTATTTTCTTTAAGCATGAGACATATTGAATTACTATATTGTGTTATATGTGGTGTAACTTATTGTTTAACAGTCTTGTATTTGTATTGTGTAATTTTTGTTCAGCTGAAGTTCATAACATGTTTATGATATGAAAACAATTATAATTTGATGCCTGAGGAGTCAGCTTATCTTGAATCTTCTTCAACATCAACAGACTAATCAAGCATGGTCGAAAACATTCTAAAAGTTATATAATAATGTCCACTGTCATCTCATATTACATGTAAAATATGGGTTGTGTGACGACCATGCTTTCACCTTGGATATCCAGCTGAAGCCTCTTTTGATAGCCTTGTCTAATGTTTCTCGTAGGAGGATTCTATTATCAATGATCGTTTCGCTATTACCTTTTCTATTGTTTTCTATACTGCTACGGCAATGAGTTTTGTAGGCACTCTTTTTATGACTTTTTTTTATTTTGTTGCCTTTCATAGATACATTTCCAGTTTCTATATACTTTGACAGCAGTAGTTATTGTCAAACTATAGATGAAAGGAATACCATCATGGTCTAGACTCAATTCATTTAGCTGTTGCCAGGTGCGGTAGTAAATAACAACAACAAAATCCGAGTGTGAGGTAGACATATAATTATGTAATACACCAGGCATATGGCAAAGAGACTGTGAAGAAGTTGATTAAAACGATTAGTAGGCTACGGAGTTATGTAGTCTATTGTTGATTTTAAAAAAACCAATCAAACAACATATTTCCAATTCCTTCTGGAGCAGATGACTTACTATGTTTTCGGCTCTTCTCGCTGTTGTATATTTCTTCTTCTTGGAAAGGATTGATAATATTAGGGTTGATTTTTTCGCCTCCACCACACAGAGCCATTCACAAATAATTATTGTTCTTTTAGTGGCGTCTAAGTAGTACTCGAGGTAGTATTCGCCACTACTGACCAACTATGAGACATAGGTTGAGACAAAAAAGAAACTTGCCGTTAGGTATGGGAACTGACAACATAAATGCTAAGAAATCATATTGCAAAAAGTGTTGTTGGTGTGAAATGAATACCGTTGCGAAGGACATTAATTTTCCGTCCACCAAAGAAAAGAACCTAATTCAATAGTTCTGAAATAATTGCTTGCATATTATCTTCTCATATGTGACACTTAATTGGAATCAATGTCCTTGCAAAGTCACTACATCAATAAATGTTTTTAATCATCCGTTAGTTTGCGTTAGTTGTGTCATGTTTGCAGAACCTTTGCCAAATTTAGTAACGAATAATGTGATAGGCCACGTGGGTGAATGGATATAGAAGGTATCTGTTTAAATGTCAGAAGCTGAAAGGTGACTCACATGTTTCGGAAGGCCATGATGGCATCATTATGCATTCTGACACTGTGATTAAAACTCCAGTTTACCACCTAACTTTTGACCAAATATATGTTCCTTTAAGGCGTACAATTCCACGCAGTACAGCCAGCTCTTACTTGTACACCTTGTATGAAAACGACTCCACAAACAATGGCTGGGAAGGAATGTTTTGTGTGGTAATATTTTCTTCTCGGTGATGTGAACGTCAATTGGTTTTTTAAGCAATTGCGACCTCTGATTGGTCGATCACCATCCAGTGTTTCCCAATGTTATGGTTGACTTGGGAGTTAAACTCCAGCAGGATTTGAACCTGCAAAGTCCATAACAAAGGCAAACTTCTTTGTGTTCACAATGCCAAGACAAATCGTATATTTCGGGGCAGAAACTGCGTTCTACTTCTTCTTGATCTGTATCTTTAGGCACACGAAGCAGAATATCTGCTTGGATTGAAGTAAAAACAATGGCTTAGATAACTCGGCCAAAATGTTTTATCTAAGTTCCAGGTGTACCGGTTATGTGATGTCGTTCACTATCCATCAGATAGCCAATTCCCGTACGGATTAACCAAAACTAAAGTACGCAAGTGAGGCCGTACCGTGTCTTTCATATACATGTAAAGATGGGGCGGTGGTGTAGCGTAGTGGTTAAAGCGTTTCCTCTTCACGCCGAGTCAGGTTGGATTCACCACAATGTACAATATGTGAAGCCCATTTCTGGTGTCCCCTTGATATTGCTGGAATATTGCTGAAAGCGTCGTAAAACCATACTCACTCACTCATTTTTCTTCCTTTTGTTAGAAACAACTCCAGACTCAGTTGTTTAAGTTTCAAAACTATATTTAGATACAATTGATTATGCTCGTTTATAAAGATTTCAAACGTCGTCACACGACTCTTGCACAGAACTTACCGATTTTTGTATGGCGGGCATGTAGAAAACATTTCCAAACTGGACAAAAATGAGTTCCGATGCAAGTCCCAATTTTGACTAGTATCATGCGTGCCCGTGCCTTATCAGGTGAACAGCTGACTCTCCTTCGTGTACGCTTGTGACGGATGATACCAATGACCAAAGATACGCTTACCTTTTCGCCAACGACTAGTAACATCACGCTTTGATTCATAGACAAAGGCTCATTTAGTGAGTGATTTGTTGCATATCCCGGTGTGAGGGCTTAATGTGGGAGTAAGGCCAAAAGCCTGTTTTAACAATAACCACTTTGAAGTTAGATTTTTTATTCATATGTATAATCGTAAGTCAGGGTATGGAACGCATCTGGAAATTGACTTAAGGTTTCTTAGGTTGCGTGGTATTAACTAAATAAAATATTTAATTTGTGTTTATTTCCATTTTACAGATTAGAATACTTATGTTTCTGAGAAGGTTCAGCATGATGATCTGTCAAGTGACGTATTCTACCTATAGACTTTCCCAATTAGCATCCAACCAACTGGCATTTGGTATTCTAACTCTGCATCTTGCTTCATCCAGTTAGTGCGACTTGACAGTTTTTGTTAATGTTAATCTGCTATTTGTCACAACATATAACGCATTATACTTCTCTTCTTTTGTCTATAGTCACTTCAGTCTGATAACAGCGTTTCCTTACTCACTTTCCGTAATGCCCATCAAACGTTTACATGTTCTGTCCGGTACCATGAATGGCTCTCTGAGACAAAACCACAAGCAACGCGAATACGGTAATAACAGGGTCGAATCACGCCATCCTGCCGGTTAAGAAACTGTGCTTGTGAACACGATTGTCATCAACTGACTAGATATCGGATAGTCTCATTTAAATTCTCTGCACGATCTACATACTTGGACATCAATTAGTAATTTGTGCCACCATAACTTCAAAGTGACAAGCACGTTAGCATTCAGTATATAAATTATATTATAAACTTTCAGACAAACTGTCAGATGTGACCAAAATTTACAGAAGTTACTATGCTGAATACAGTCTCCGAAAAGCTGCAAACATAAGGTCCTCACTGATCTACGCCACCTATTTCAAACACCTCACACTACTTTCGGTTGTTGGCGATCAATAGCCCGTTTTTCTATTGTGTTGTCTTCGTAAATAAAATAGTTTTACATGTTCATGCTAGTTTTAGACTCCATCTGTGATACTCTAGTTATTTTACAGTCCTTCAATGACTGATTATTTAGCAACGTTAATTTATTGTTTATGTAAAACATTTCTCGTCACTATATGGCTGAAATATTGCCGAGGTGACGTTAAATTCGAACTCACTCACTCACTCAAACACCCCACAAACGAACTAATTACCATATCTTGTTTGTTCAACCGACTGTTTACGTCTGTGTTACCGATCTGTATCCGTTGCCACAGTGTATGTCTTCCATACTTCTACTGAAGATCACCTTGATAATAACGTCTGCACCCAAACGCCAAACAACGCAAAAATTGGAAATCCATATAATCAATCATGTCATCATAGCTAAAACCGCTTCCCTTGCCACTTAAATACATTATGTATTCGCTACTTAAGCATTC